ATTTTATGACACACTTTGATGTCGCAATAAAAGTTTTTTCCTTCTATTCGCGTTGGTCGGGCCAGAAATTCATAATTCAAAGCACTCATTCTCGGTTTTAGGACATTTTTTTAAATTATTTTTTAAATTTTTACGACGTTTTTTAAAATCAGTGTCAGAAAGTATCGTGGCGCGTCAACAGAACAGAAGACAAGTAATGTGTTCTGTTTGTGGTATGGGTTTCCTGGGTGTTATAAATGTAATTCTTCGTAAGCAAATTGGGATGTCCCGCATATAAGAACAAATGGATTAAGAACACCAGGCTGAAATTTGGCCAATAAAGCGCCATTTTTATAAGAACAAGATCAGCCTGAGAATTGTAACATGTTATTATGAAATGGAAAAAGGGTCATAATTACAAAACATGTAAGTTTATGTTTGCTGTCAGATAACTTCATTTGTTAGTATAATCAAATTACAGAATAATTATTTATTTTATTTTCCTAAAATATGCTAAATATAACTCTAGCAACATGTTTTGGATAGTATTACTAAATAAAAATTTAAGAACATTTTAATAAAATTTTGAGGCTGATTTGTCATTAAGCACCCTGTTGTGAAATCGTATATTGCGTTACGCTCGTTTGTATTTTTGTTTAATACGTTAGTTTTTTACCAGTTTGACATATATCATTATTATCACAGTTGTCTAGCCTCGGAGTTTTTACCAGATCTAATCGGAGAGTACAAGGAGTTTTTTACATTCAGTTTTTTCCTATTTTGTTGTTCCTTTCTTTAATACGCTTGGAGGAACTATAACGTAAGTTCTGTTTCATTTTTGTCTTTCATTTTCGGTTTGTTTTACTCTCGATTTCCTTTTAATTTTAGTTGTATTTTCTTGCGTAACGCGTGTCTATGTATGTTTTCAGTTCTCACCATATGCTTCATTGATACTGCAATAAACAAACTTTAATCGAGTACGGAGCGTGTGGTTGATCACAGCGAACTCCACCCGTGGGAACGCGACACACCCGATAAATAAAAACTCAATCAGCCTGACCTCCGAAATCGTGTGTTCTTATATGCGGGGGTTACTGTAGTCTCCTCGGGATACATCACATCCACCAGACCTCGACACCTCGACCAAAAATTCGACTCCACAAAACGAAGGAAAGAAATAGTATCGGCCTACCACTGATTGACAATTTGACAGTTTTGTAAAAAACTATCGACTGACATAAGTTAATTTTCAATGACAGTCAAAAAGATCTCAATTTCAATTGGTTAGTATATATAGCCTGACAATTGATTTGCGGGAGTGAGGCGTCAGAAGAACATTATATCAGCGAAGCGTTCTCAAGAATCTTGCATCACAACGCTGACTGTGAAGCCGAAGAGATTTTTTCACTAGAATCAGTAAGACTTCTAATAGCACGCACGAAATGAAGATCCTGTTGGCCTGCGTCTTTCTTCTTTGCATTTCAGGAGGTAAGTAGCAAATTTCTGTCTCGTTCACAGTTTGTTTTGTTTCGCTAGTGGGCTTTTGGGGTGTTGGCTCCGTCTGTAGTTCGTTAATGTTGCGAGAAAAACAGAAGGTTAAGCATCTAACGCTTTCCACTTTCTGATAACTTTAGGTTCCTTTTTTACTTTTATTTAGTCATCTAAGTGCTGTTATAGCCTCGTAGCTTCTCACTCGCTCCATTTGTTTGTTTCGTGCTAGGTACGAAGGGGGTGGGGCGCGCCGCCTAAATCTCGCTTAGATCTTTCTTTATGCATCGATCTACAACTAGTGTTTTATTGTCGTTGACATTAAATGATGTACTTGGAACTAAGCGAAAAGGAAATTGTAAGAGTTACGTTTTGAAAAGCTGGTTCAGTTTGGGCGTTTGTGCCACAGAACTCAGCAAATCATTTAATGACCAATTTTGATTTAGAGTGCCGGTGGTACAGTTTGTGTTTCCGAATTCTTGGTTTTCACATTCAAACTAAAAAAATATCACTTCTTCTGAGTTTCTACTTTCATGTGGTATTACAGCACCTTAAAACCTTTATACAAACAAATTTTCACTTCAAAAGGGTCCTTCGTTTTCCGATACAGGACGCTTGAATTTCTACGATTTTGCGCGACGCGGCATTTAGCTGACTGCTAGGAAAGCTCTTATATATGTGGGTTAAAAACATTACCGATTTTGGGAGATTTTGCTATCTAAACATTCCTTATCTCAGAATAAATATAACTTTAATCTTTATGAGTTCCTCAAGCGTAGAGTTCAGGCATTAGTAGGAAAACTCAAAAACAGATAGGATGTACGTTTCTGTTGGTTTCCGGCGGCCACATTTGTGCCCCTGAAAGAGATACAAACATGGCGTCTCCATACAAAGCTCTATAAATTTGGGTTAAACGTTTTTCAGAATATCCGTCGCATATGTAGTATTGCACAGACCTGATTCTTGGCAAGACTTTTTGTATATTTGTCTTGTTTCATTTTCCAGTTTCTAGACTTTCTGTATTAAAAGGTTTCCATTTTTATTTTTGATGGCGTGACAGTGAAAATCACCAATTCAAAGTAGACAGACTCCAAATTATCGTAGTTGCTACAAAATATATCTACAATAGCCGAGAACACGACGACATCCCTCACCTCGATCAAATGAGTTAAGAAAAACACTTCAAAGCCAAGGTTTTTATTTATCGTGTTATAACGCTGCCAATCTACTAAACCTTACACCTTGATACCGGAGTACAAACTGTCGGTGCTTTAGGCCAAAATAAATTCAGTTTAGTTTCACGCGAAGCGTTCTCAACGAAAATGAAGCTCGCCATTTTAAGACCACGCGAAGCAAGGTATTTGAATTACTCAATTTATTTATCTTCGTACAAAACTAAGCACCTCAGAAACCGCGGTGCACCTATCTCAGCTTTCATAGCTTTGGATCATTTTCTACGCAAAAACATACTCTCTCGTTGTTGTCGAAAAATTCTTTTTTACCACTAATCATCACTGACTTACACTTCTTTTTCAAGCTCAGTGACCAGTGGCTTCGAACAGAATCTCAAACATACCAAAATAGGGAACTGGAAATGTTTTCACCAACGGGGAAGGGTGTGAGCGTGACGAGCAATTTGCGAAGTCAATCGGTATAATATCTAGATGCAGCTTCTTTCTTCCTAAATCGTCTTTACGTATGCTCTACTATTCCTTAATTTATCCTTATTTTTACTACTGCAATATCGTTTGGGCTTCGACCTATAAAACCAATCTCCGCCGCCTTGTTACGCCGCCTTGTTATCCTTCAAAAGCGCATTGTTAGAATTATTAATAAATCACATTTCAAAGCTCATACTGAACCCACCTTAAAAGACCTCGTATACTAAAATTTAATGATATCCATTTGCTTCAACTGGGCCAATTTATGTATTCTTGCAAAAATTCATTCTTACCTCCAAAGTTTAATAACAATTTCTCCCAAAGCAATCAATTCCACTCTTACAATACAAGAAATTCCCAGGCCTAACGTCTACCGTATTGTCGTACAAAAACGAAGAAGTTCTCGCCCATTTTTCAAGGGCCTAAGTTTTTAATTCACTTGACAACAACGTCATCAACTCTCAATGCCTCTCCTCTTTTAAGAAAAACTGAAGATTAACTTATTGAATAAGTATGAAAAGAGTTCAAAAGTCTTTCCATCTTTGACTTTTCGCCTTCTTTTCTTCAATTGATGTGAAACAGCTCTAGCTCATAGTTCGAGGAGGCCTAACCTCTCATAAGCTCCTATAGTTTCTGTTAGGTCTCCTCGCCACTTTTTTTTTTTTCTTCTTTTCCTATATTTTTTGTAATTATTGTGAGGCAAATAAAATAACAATAAAATAAATCTCGTTTTTGTGGCTTTACTGCCGCAGTCAGCCATAATGCTATCGCGTTGAGTCCAAGACCACTGAGGAACTCTACCGAATTCTATCCGGTATTCCGCGATATTAGCCCCTTTTTGATTGTGGATTGAAATGTATTTTAAAAAAACTGCTTCACAGCTAATCAATTCCCCCCTTCCTGGTATTTACATGTTTTTTTTAGTCAATTATATAACTTATAACCAGCCATGCAGATCATAGCCGGTGTAGCAAGCGTTTCCGTGCGGTTTAGGAGCAAAGAACGAGGAACGAGCAGGCGCGAAAAATGGCGTAAGTACAAGAGCGGGGAGGGGGTGGGGAAAAAAAGGAAGGAAACGCTTGCATTTTGAAAACCGCCCATTTGGCCTGTTATGCCTGAGTTCGCGCACTGACATTTGATGCTGTCATCAGCTGTCATAATTGGCCAATAAAATGTTTGGCTTTCAGTGGACCGGAAATGAACTTCAGAGGACGCTTATGTGAACCCAAAATATATATTTTTTGTATTTGTATTTTTTGTAACACGTGGACGGCGTTTATGTTGAAATATCAATGAATCCGAACGATCAATACAGGCTTTGGACATTTGTCTTTTTTAATCCGTCTAACAGAACAGTCTGTAAATAACCATCTGGGAGAATTCAACATCCCTCAAAAAAACATTAACGAGCTGGGCCCTGCATGACACATTGCAGGAAACGATAGGATTCGCGAACAAAAGAAAATCGCTTTTAGTTATTCAGATCCAGGAGGCACTTTAGAGAATAAATTAAACGATCTGAAACCCTTATTTAGTCGCAAGAAGAGCCTTACGTTTCAAAAGAGGTCAAAGAAAGTGGCCTTGTATTGGAGGGCAAATCTTGCCGACCAGAATAAACACAGGGGGCCCACACAATCTGTTTGTGTAGCCGATTGTTATTTTATAGTAAATGTACTGGATTTACCGTTTGCTTCACCTATAGCGATATATCGCTAGCTATGTATATAAATCAATGATAAATAAACGTTGAATTACCTTGCCTGTGGTGTATAGGCGTCCTTTTGCTTCAAAAGCGGTTTTTTGAGCGATTTTGAATGAATTTATTATATGGAACAGTCAACGGCGAACTCAAATTCAAAACGTAATCAAATGAAAAGTTGGCGAGTCAATTTCCACGATCATCATCGTTGCGCCTCTCGTACCCATAATGAAACCAAGCTCAAGCGATTTGGAATAACGGCAATAACAGCCATAGGTTGGGGACAGGAGGAAGGCATGGACGAAGACACGGCAATGTGAAAGGAAGGTGTGCGTGTGAGATCATTTATGGAAGCCCAGAAAGGCAAAAAAAGTCTTATTTGAAAAATTATTTAGCCGCAATACTGAAAAGATTAATGCTTTAACAGAGGTCAAAGAAAATCAGTACTTAACTGCATCTGGAATCAAATTCTTTCAGAAACAAACCGCAGGAAATAATTGCCCAGTATGCGTGACTGACCGTCTAAATGTTAGACTCAGAGGGACAGAAATTAGATTTGCTTAGTTATAAAGGAAGGAAAACCTCTGATGTTGTTTATTGAAAGCTGACTCAAAGGTCACGTTTGATACTATCACGAGCTTATGAGTCGCGTCTAGCCTGTCGGCACTTTGTAGTTCATGTCACAGTTACGCTGTCGGCGGTCAATTAAGGGCGGAAAGAGCTCTGTAAGGGAATGTTTACTGGCGTTCTCTCCCCCTTCCCGTCTAGTCTCCCCTCGTTTTCGTTTTTTTCGTGAATTTTTCTCCCGCGCTCTACTATCTGAACGCCTGAAACAGGCTACTAGCCGAGCCAATCAGGCGCTGCGTTCGCTGGCGAACGCAGGTTTTCAAATCGAGGGGTTTGTCTGCAAGCGTTTCCTTCCTTCCCCTCCCCCTCCCCCCACTTTCATTTTTTGGCTCTTGTTTCATTTCTCGCGCGGCCAAAACCGAGAATCCCGTTCCTCGGTCTTTCTTTGCTCCGAAACCAAGCGGAAACGCTTGCTACGCAGGCTATGCAGATCAGTGCCTTTAAGGAGGGTCCAGACCCTCTGGACCCTCTCCCTGGACTGAGGTTCTAGCCACACTATTTACAGTAAATATGAGAAATAAATGAGTGACTTCGGCTACAGACTACCTAATAGAGGGTATTACAGGTTTAACTGTAATAGCAATTAAGCAGATATCAACTTTCATGAGCAAACGTTTTAGAAACATTACACTCTCACCAGTCGGTAGAGCGCTAGACTGCGGAGCGGGAGGTCGCGGCCGGACCAATACTCAGGGTCTTAAAAATAACTGAGAATGAAGGTACTTCCTTTGCCCTGCAGGCGGCTGGACCTTCGCGTGGCTCGGATGACCACGTAAAATGGCGGTCCCGTCTCCATTAGGAGACGTAAAATATAGTGTCCCCAATTAGCACTTTCGTGCTAAATACATTGACACTCAAATAAGGTGCTTTTTTTTTTCTTCAATTACCCTTACCACTGAGGTTTTTTCTCACATGCAAAGAGGAGCTTCCTACCCTTATGCCAATTTTCGATTTCAACACCTCACCGATCTCGACAAAAAGCGAAAATGCAAACTTTCGCGGCACATTATTCCACTCGAGGAATTTGAGCGAAGCTGTAGATGCAATTCTCCCCTCGAAAAACATCACTGATTGATAGATTTTAACGCGCTGGTAAACTCCTCGCTCTCGCGTTTCTTTTCATGTGCAGCTCACGTATGACTCCCCGCGCCTGCCATTTTGGGTCCTATTTACACTACGACAAAAATATGATTTAAGCGTCGGCGAAAAATGTGAAAATTTGTTACTTACCGGTTTTTTAAAAAACTCGTGCAGTCTGAGGCACGAGAAGTTTTTTGGCTAACCAGAAACGTCAATAATAATTAAAGGAACTTTAATTGGTCACTTCACGAAATAACATGACCCGACGAAGGACAGTTGTCAAGGAACAAACGAGTTTGTCGCCTGACAAAAAAATTGTAGGCCTTCAAATCTTCTTAGCTGGACCTGTCACTCGAGACCTAGACAGAGAACTCGATATAAACTTGGCTGCAGAGCAGGCGCTTTTCTTTTCTAAAGAAAACGAAAAGAAAGAAGAAGAAAAACAATTGGAAAACTAAGGAAGGAGGAGTGGGGAGGAAAAGCGAAATTTTCCCTCTACCCTCGCCCAACTACCCCCGGACTCGGCCCAACTCTCTGTCAGTTTCAGCGTCCAAATCGTTCGAGCTGCGAAATACGCCTGTTTTGCATGCTAGATATAGTTTTTTTGTTTTTACCACAGAGTGAAAAAGCTTGCAATGCTGAATGATGCAGTTCTTAAAAATTGTTGGTTGTGCTTTTCGTTCGATAAGAGTGATGATTTTCTTCCTCTCCTTTTAAAGGATACGGTCTTAAGTGCTACAAGTGTGCCTCAGCGAAGAGTTGGGATGACTGCGAAAAAAACAAGGAAGAGATGACTTGTACTTCCGGTTACGACAGCTGTGGCAAAATTTACTTTGATGGAAAAGTGGCAGGCACAGGAGTGGAAGGTTATGGCAAATCATGCGCCATCAAATCGGGCTGTAACAAGGATCTGTGTAAGGCAATGCAAGCAGGAATAGCAATCGACAAGTGTGAAGTCAACTGCTGCCAGGGAGACCTGTGCAATGGAGCTAAAGTACCATTGGTCAGCGCCTTTTTGATCTTGGCATGCGCTCTTCTAGCTTTTTTTCGTTAAAAACTGTTAAGTGCAAAGTTTTGAGTTTTATAACCTGCGTTTTATAGCACGAAAAGTAGTTTTTTTAGTTATGTCTTGTTCGTAAGCTTGATTTTCCTCATATTATGATCTCTTGAGGACGCAATTTGAAGGGTAACAAAGAAAATTGTAACATTTTCAAGAAGTTTAAAAAGTAGATTTAAATTTGCACTTGTTAGTCTAAAGTTTTCAATGGGTCCTTTTTGTTACGTTTTCTTATTAAAGTTTGTTTTTAAAGAGCCATCTTGTCATTATGAGCGTTACCTAACTTTAGGAAATAGATGCCGTTCAACTCGCATCACAGGACAATACACCTCTGCCGATAAGTCATCACCAGCGAGTCCAGATCGCGCTTTTATAAAATTAAAGTGCAGCGAAATCAGCCCGGGGCCACCTATACTTTGACATTCAATGCAATTCAATACAATTTTTTGCGGCGTTATTGATTGACCAAAGAACTAAGTCAGGTTTCTTTTAGCTTTGTTGTGAACTAGTCCTGTATTGAAACGATAAGATGTACTTCCATAACGGTTAACCCTGTTAACACCAGAGGGTTGGGGGGTCTTCACACTGGCTATGAACTTGATTGGAAGAGAGAAAAGACGGGTAGGTGAGAACCCTGGGAACGAGGGTTGAAGGGGGGGGGACTGGTAGGGGTTATTTTAATTCACGAAAAGAATGCTTGAATTAAGATACCAGATGCAAAAAAAACTGAGGAGCAGCGCCTAAATAGTTTGTGTAGAGATTCGGTGGTTCTTTACTGTTCTAGTTCAATTCGTTGGTTGAGCTACAATTTTCAACACATTCCATTCTTTATGAAGAAAATGTCGCACGAGATTACTAGAGCTTTTCTTCTTTTCTTATAAGGGTGGTTTTTGTAAAACAAAATTGCCGCCAATGGAAGTCTTGCTAGGCCTGTTTCTTCCTAAACACTTAACGATCACTCCCGCGCGCGCCACATAAAATTTGGCGGGCATTTAGGAGGTTTCGGCGCGGACATGTCCGAGACAGAAATAAGTGAATTAAAGGGAAAAAATCGAACTCTATGCTTACCTCCAAGGAGTTTTACAATTAAGCAGTCATAATAAAAACCAGAAGTAATGTATCGCAAGGTAAACCTACTGATCTAAGGCTAAATTGGCCTCGCTTTTGAACCAATATGATAAAGGAAGGCTGCATGGCCATCTTCCCGGCTGTCAAAAGAGAAGCTTGAACTCTCCTAACCTGTCCCATTGCCTGCGTGCAGACGTCTCCTATTTCCTTTGTTGCACGCGAAACAAAAGGAAATAGGAGACGTCTGCACGCAGGCAACCTGTCCCATCGCTTCGCAGGGAAATGATTTTCAATCAACATAGAAATTTCGATCGGGATACGGTAAAAAAGAATTCACATATACTTCATAATGATGGCTTGATCGGGTTGATCCGATACGGGGAATAGTTGAAAAGACCGCCCTCGACTTTATCCTGCCTAGTACTGTTTTAAACATATTAACAGACAGTTGCAAAATTTAGAATTTTTTCATCGCCTTTGTGAAAATCACTGTTGATGACTGCAAAGCTGAAAATTATAACTGGAAACTGAGCATAGCAACTGTCACTCAAGCCAATTAGGAATTTTAAGTGCGGCCGCCTGATGAGATGTTGTATACAAGTAGAAAAATGGGCTCGCGATACAAATGCAATTTAACGCAGAATTCACGTGTCAGGTAATGGATTTTCCTTGAATCGCATAATTGAATGAAAATAAGAAAAAAGTTAGTTTTATCCTGAGCGCACGCTCCAGAAAGCCATTTCAAAGTCAACTGTCAGAACTGTCATTGCGTTAGCGAACAGGAAGCAAGGCCAGTCCTACACGTTTGAACCTTCCACAACTTTATTTGTACCTTGTGCTTTTTTTTTACATTTGTTTTCAAACTTTTTAAACAAGCTTCACACTAATCTTCAGGATAAATATAGTGCTCATTTCACTGAATTTACGAGCCGTTTATCTATGACATCTTTGTTCAAATTTCCAAATCATTTTCGCGAAAAGGAAAATAATTTTACACCTTTTACCTCTTCGGTGGCAAATACGAAAGAAATGAAGTGTTCAAGCGAAAGCACTGAAAGTCATCCCAGTTTTTGCAGTTGCCGGTGTTACAATGTGACCATAGCCCGTTACGTATATGTAGATGCGAAACAATTATCACTTAGTCTCGTCTTCAACTCGAAATTCCACGCTAAATACCTCGCTTCGTTAGGAGCCTATCACCCTGGCTTCGTTAACCAATCAGAATGCGAGATTTTTTTAATTATGCGATTTTAAGCCTATCACCCTGGCTTCGTTAACCAATCAGAATGCGAGATTTTATTTAATTATGCGATTTTAGATAATTTTTTCATTAATTCGAACAAGCATCTGAGCAGTGTAGCGACAACTATAAATCGCACTGAATCATGATGTAGCATTTAAACGTCGACAACAAGCAAAATAGTAGAAAAAAGATCAAAGATAATAGCGATTTGGCCGCTGATGAGGTCACAAGCGGACCGAGAAGGCCTGGGAAAACGCCGTACAGGGACTAGTCAACGAAGGGCCTGTTTTTCAACCCAAGAAATATTGAACATGGCACGTAACGCTGAATATGCCGCCCGTGGGTCAATGGCTGGGTCACTCCGCTTTGTCTTTTTTTACATGTGATAAAGCCCCACTCTCGTGTTGAAAGCGTGGCACAACCTCGTTACAGGCCTGTTCACATTGATCACTTGTCTGCTACACCGGCCGCTTTTCAAAAAATTTACGTTGCGTGACGACACTAAAAACGGCTGTGTCGATCACGTGAATTGTGCCTTAAAAATATGTGTATAAATAGAATTGACAAACATTTGTCCAAGCTTTGAACTCTTGCTTCGTGTGTTAACTGAGGAAGACCAGTTAAATGAAAAATGAAGACAATCAGCTTCGTGTTTGCCTTAATTCTTTGTATTTCGCTTGGTAAGTACAGTATAGTGTCGGATGTGCCGGTAGGATGCACTGTGAGAGGTTTAAGAAAAGTCGAAAACGTAAAATACATGTAGATTTTCACTGGCCCAAATTTTACAGATGCTTATGCTTCTGCCAGAGTCTGTTTTTACGGGTCACATCTCATTTTCTTAACTTTACTGTGGTATAAAGTGTGGTTTATAAATCATCTTGATTGCAATCACGGTGCTATATGGAAGCAGCCTGTGAACAGGCTCTGTGTTTGGGGAAATGATCGCGAGGAGAGGTATTTTTTCATCGTATATCCTTTCCCCAAACAGAAAGCCTGTTCGCAGGCTACTATATGGGTGGCAAGTAAGTCTCTTGTTTTTATATTGAGCATATAATGCTTTTGTGTCTTCCAATTTGCATGTTAAGAACTTAGATCACTATTATAGTTACTGGGGACTGTAACTTCAATTCTGCCGGATCGTCAGTAGTTCTTCGCCCGCCATTTTGCATCACTTATGAAAAAAGGTTTTTATGCATTCCCTCTCGCTTGGTCGAGTTGAAATCTCTTTTCGTTTCACCTTTGTCCGCCGGAATTTTATTGACAAGATAAAACGAAAATTGAGCCTTTACCATTTACTGAAAAAAAACTGAATTGACATTTAAACTGACAAGGACCGCAAACTAGACAATGGATTCTGGAAAGCTGATCGTACACAAGAATGGCGAAACAGCTGTCTATGGCTACAATCCCGCTCTGTTTTAGGTTCTTTCGGTGTCGTGTTGATGTCTTGCAAAGTTAATTTTCACGTAGTACGATCAGCCTTGCGGAATTCAATGTGTCTACTTTTTTCTAAGAAACCAAAACAAGAATTCAAGGTCGATCGAGGGCAGGGACATGTAGCCAGTCACACGATTTATTTTGTTTATTTGTTTGGTTTTTAATTATTAATATTGTTTCATATATATCTATATACATTCTTCTAATCACGGGTCTATTACTGTGAACCCTTTAGACTGGACTTCGACCGAGTTCGCGTTTGGTCGTCACGGTGCGGTTTTAGAGAATCGCATGCTACCTTCAAAGGGGCTGTGTCACGGCAGTCAACTTCACTTTGTATAATTTTGCCAATTACTCGCCCTCAGTCGCTATGGAACTAGTGAAAGTAGGCAAAGAAATTACACGATGTAAATGACAAAATCAGAGATTAGAGACAAACAAATATGTCCCCTGAGCATTATTTTTGAAGCTGCAAACAGCAGAGATAAACTTTGAAAAACTGTTAGGCTGAACAGTTTCAAAAACCCTAATTTCAATCCGTTTCAGTCTTCTTCAGTTTTGCCCATCCATGGCAGCTGTTGTATCTGTTGCGTTATTTTAACCTTCCTTTAACGTTTTAAGCGGTTATTTTTATGTTTCTTTTAATTTAACGAGCATTTTGCAATAATCTAATTTGCTGAATTTCCTGACACAGCCCCTTTAAGTCCCAAGCGTGACCAAAATCAATTTTCTCCGAACAATATCAATACACAATCAAAAGAAAAGATTGCGAGAAGTAATAAAAAATGATCACTTAAGGGAAGTGCTTTGATCGTTCATCAAATTCTCTCAACTTATTCTTTAAGGACATGAATGTCAATAAAATCTTGAAACATCGGGGATAAATTACTGGTGAAGAGAAGTTAGGTTAATAATTTGGTTCGAATTATCGGGAATTTCGAAAAAGCGATCCGAAGGTTGGAGAAATCGAGATTCTTCTTTACTAAAGGGACTTTTTACATGGAGGGAGGAAGATCCTATTGAGAAGTCGAATCATCCTAGTGCCCTATGTTTTACATGCAAAGGGCAGTACTTGTCCCTACAGCCAGGATCAAGGGACAAACCAGACAAAAAAGACGGTGGGTCTGTCAGAGGCTAATCACAGCAATAAAGGCCCGCCATTTTCTTTGGCGTTACCTTGAGCTGATTATTGTAATAATTCCTCTGAAAAGTAGTTACTAACTCCGGCAAAGAGAGAAGAAGGGTCCAAATTGCATTTTTGTTTTTGTCGCCCGCTTTTTTAATTCCTTCTGGATCCTTCTCTTCTTCGGCCCTGCACGGACTGTAACGAAAAGTTGTTCCAGCTTCTAAGATCTTCCTCGTGCAAGGATCTTCCTCCCTCCATGTAATCATAGACAGCCACTAAGGTTTTGGACTGAGTAGTAACGTCTGTTCTTTCCGGTTTTCAAGGATACTGCCATGATCATAAGAGTTGTTACTACTGTAGGACTAAGAGTGGCTGGGATGACTGCTCATCAAGAATGGAAGAAATAACTTGTCCTGCTGAAAAGGATGCCTGTGCAAAGCTTTATTTTGAGGGGAAACTGAATTACACGGATATTAAAGGTTATGTCAAGGATTGTAGCGTCAAATCGGCATGTAACCAAGATCTATGCAAAACACTCCAACCAGGAGCAACGTTTAACAAGTGTGAAGTCCACTGCTGCGAAGGTGACTTGTGCAATGCAGCTACAGTAACATTGGTCAGCGCCTTCCTGCTTTTTGCATGCGTTTTTCTAGCTTTTTTCCGTTAATTTCTACACAACCTAGTGTTAAGGTTAAGTTTTAAGTTTTGTAAACGAGGTAGGTTTCAGGATGCAACTAGTGTTGCGGGGTAGAACATTTGTCTATATTTGCGTTTTCAAGGGAATTCGGAGTCCAAGTTCCCATTATTAATACTAGTTATAGTTGTCACTAAATCTGCCCCCAACCTTTTAAAACCCGACTGAAGACACCTTGTGGTTGTCCATGTATTTGCCATGAACCTTTGAAATGCAGTTTTCGTATTAGAGTTTCTGAGTGTAATTCTTTTGTTCTCTTTTGTGTTTTCTCAATTATTACACTTTGTTTCCTGGGTTAATGAAAATCCTCATACATGACATGCCTAGGATGGACAATTGTTTTTTATACATCTCATAATGAGTTCAACCAACACTGCAAATGTAATAGAACGCGTGTTAAACAGCAAAACCATCTTTAATTATCTATTTGTAACTAAATTTCCTATAACTAATGTGTCGAACGGATGCTTTGGCTTCGAGTGTGACATTCTTGAACGCAACGTCGAACGCAACTGATATAAATGATTTCGCAATAAACTAACCATACAAAAACATGGACCACTGTTTCAAGTTTCTCACCTTTGAGATATTTCCCAGTTCATTTTTTCTGGCATGTCCTTGTATCAAATAAAATAATCGGGATTTCGCCATAAACTAACCCTAAAAACACATGGACCACTGTTTATTAAACCCTGAATACCTTAATATAGAACAAAACCCGGTTATTTTACGATAGCACCTTTCTTGTCTTTGACTGGGTTTTGAGAAATTTGAGCTATTCCTGATATGGTTTGAATCGAGTTTGTCGATCCACGTTGACAAAACCAGTTTAAAGTTCTGTCGATCCACGTTGCTGATTTGTGTCTGACAAATCAAGTTCTTTAATACCAAACAATTGTGCAGTACTGCTGAATAACTTTTTAACTCTATAGAAATATGTATCTCGCAATAACCTTCGCGAAACTCGGTTTGGTAACGGCACTCAAGTTAAGCCCTGTCGGTCGGGGTTACGAACTGGACGGGTGACCAACCGCGAATATCGTGTTAAAGGTCCATACGTTGTTCTTTCTCTTCTTCTTCTTCTTTTTTGCGTATTATGTAGTGTTATTGTTAACAGTGTATTGAAAAGCACATTTAGCATTATTTCGCCGCCCGCATTTAGAAAAAGACAAAAACAAAGAACAAATATGGCCCGGTGCAGTTCGCCTGAAAATTATTGTTATTCGGGCCGTAATACGGAGCTGAAACTTTGCAGACTTTGATCTATATATCTGCGGGGAAACCGGCAAACTAAGAAATCTGGGTTTTCGACAGTGTAAAACGATCATAATTCCTTTGATTCCAATCTCCTGTTCCTCTGTCTGTTGTTGTCGGCGTTGCCTTCGCTGTGCTCATCGATGTTCCTTCTACTCCGCGGTTTCTTGTTGACGTCTTCTCCGTCGTTGTTCACGCTGAATTTGAAGTCGGCGTTCTCGCTCTAGAGGAGTTTCGGTGGAAAATCTTCCCGGACGAGGATTTGGAGCCACTTGTTGTGCTTGTGTACGACACAATTCGGCGAATGCGACTCGTTGACAAACCCAGTTTGCGCGGTTGCTGAGCCACGCGCACGCGCAGAAAATTAACCGGGACCACCGTGCGCGCCTAGTTTCATCAAATCGGGAAAGCTTCGCATATACTAACAGTAATACGATACTTCTTCTTTACGCGGGGGACATTAGGGTGCCTCCTCGGGTTCCGGCCTCTGGGCCGGAACCCTGCGGGGGCAAAAGGCGCGCGCGGGGAAAATCAAAGCTTAATACAAGACTGACTTTGAAAGATAGAGAGAAGGTTTGTTAGTAGTCAACCCGTCCGCATAGCAATCCACGAATTAATTAACGGCTTTTAATGGACCAAATTCCATTGAAAAGAGTCCAAACTTCACAATGTCTTTTAGAGGGAAGTACAAAGGATGATCTAAGCTCACATTGATGGCAACATGGTGTCTAAGTCCATGGAACGTTTTAACCCTCAGAATTCCCAGGCCTAGCTATGACTCGGACATTGATGAGGTGAAACATGTTGTCGAGTCAAGTTCCACAAGTCAATCACTTCCGTCCTCGTTCCACGCGGCTTCACTGCTCGCTCCTCTGATGCGTGCTTTCAATCTACTGTGGCTCAAAAGAAAATAAGGGCCTGTTTACATGGAGGTGGGGGACCCCATGTATGTGAGATAACCCACTTCAAAATGAAAGAATACTTAAAGTTCACATTATAATTTGAACTGCGAAATTTAAGAACTGGTTCGATGCTCAGTGTGCGTAAATCGAGTAATGGTGCACGCGGGAAGTTCCCAGCAGTCTTAATTAACTCCCCACGTGTACAAGTGTACGTGTACGTACACACAACATGAACCAATTCTTTCATAACAAAGTTTGACAAAAATTGATTAACTGGAAAAATCTCTTAACGTTAAGGCTCGGAAAAACAAACGCTTTCATTGGCTGGTGACAAACGCACCACCATCGTTTAGTTTGAAAGAAAATGGTTCTTCTCAAACTGACAATGAATTTTTTTTATTTTTCCGACATAGAACAACCTCTACCCGGTTGTTGATGGTGGTGAAAGGGTTTAAAAGCCGACATAAAGTTAATTTAAAAATTTAAAATGTTTATAAAAAGGCCCGGAGCCTGGTTTGCATTCGTTAAATTGCTACTGTTTTGCTCGGCGAAATCCAAGTAACTTGGCGTTTAGCGAAAACGACTATCACGACTTTTTTATACGTTTAATTTGTTAATGCAAACAATGGTTGAAATCTTAGATGTACTCGCCACAAGCTAGGCTACTTTAGAGAACCTCGCTGTAGTTCTTTTAGTGAGTAATGAATTGATGTCTTGTTTTTGCTGTTGTGTAATTTGTCTCTTCAGATTGTTCGGTCATTATGAATGTCCATAATTTTTCTCAACAACTTTATGATTCACTTGGTTTCAGAACGATAAACAAACGAAAAAAAGAGGAAATTTTTTCACCGCTGAACTGACTGAGTTCCCCAACAAAGATCAATCGGTGAGCATTATTTCCAAATCATAATCAGTATTTCTGCCAGAATTTTCTACAACTTGGGTTCTGATATTTTGGTAACCAAATCACACAATAGGTCTTAGCACCCTGGCTATGTTACAAAAAGATTCTAACAGGGAACGATCCTCGCACTTACGTATAATCAACTTAACAAGCTACGTTAAAACGGCAGCAAAAACGTAAAACTTATTTCGCAAAAATACCGAAAAACGAGTTGAAAAGCAAAGTCGCGTGTTTTACCTGCCAACTGCAAGTTCCGTGAATCATGACGTTTGATTGGATAAAATTACGCGGGAGACAAGCCATACACGGAAGTCTCGTCACTAGCTGCAAAACAAGTTTACCCTGGGCTGGTAAAACGCGCAACATGTACAGATTTTGTTGCAAAAAGTAGAACAACTCTTACTTTCAGTGTTAAACAACCTTTCGCTACCTGGAACAACCTGATTTGCTTTGATTCGTGGGTGGTAAAACGCCCAGTATAGCTATAATGTAACTCGTTTTGTGGCAATGTTACAATTTTGTTGCCCGCTTTAAAGTATTTTTAAGCGGCTGCAAATTTTCACTACCAAAATGTTACATAAACAGTGTAAATCGTATGATTGGAAATGTTATTTATCCTATTAGCTATTTAACTAATTAATAAGTCACGTGACCCTTTTCCCTTTATTTACCGATTCCTATACAACGTAAACACACATACAAGGCGAATTTTTCAGAACCTTCTTAATAGCCTCTGAAATGTACCAAAAACACTTGTTGCTCTTTCCGCATTATCCTTTCCGCGTTTTAGAGTAAATATTTTTATTTAATTCTCAATTATCAGTCACGTGACGAAAATTTGAGCTTGTAAAATGTCTCATATAACTTAGGCCATTAAACTACATTTTAGTTCAATTTTCAGGATCATTGATAAAAGCAAACCGTTCTAAATAGCATTTTATCAAAATATGCATATTTAATTAGATAGTCATGCCTTAAAGGGGCCTGAGTCAGTGGCGAGATCAAGACCTTCAGATAACAGGGGGGGCCCGGTCATCCAGACCATGAGATAAGGGGCGCTTGGCCCCCTGGGGCCCCTCCCCTGCATCCGCCACTGTGAGTTGTACACACTTGCCTAAAAACTCGTGTGTATACTGAGAAAAATTAGGTTAGCCGGGATGTTTCTTCTAGCGCGTGAACCGATAACTAGCCACCTTACAAATAGAGTAGGGGCGATCGCCATTTGATTTGCATATCTCTCATGATGCACCTTGTTTGCAAACAATCTTTTTTCATGTCATTTGATGAGCGCTGTAATGGCAAAAATAGCTTCCACTCTCATTTGATGAATATGTCAGAATATTTTATCCTACCTGACTTTAGTCGAGATTTATTAGATACTGCTCTTCATGGTAACAAGCTAAGTAAGTTCAATGAAACAGGAACATTCTCAAAAACGTGAATTTTATAGATCTTTTAAAAACAAGGGTAAAACATGCTTACCTCCATCGATGTTAAGTTCATCTTTGATAGTGCACGTTTAGGGTTGTTCAGCTCCGCAAATATTCTCTGAATAGCAGATGCAGCCCTTCGAGTTGTCTTCTTGCTGTTCTTGCCACGTTTTTAGCTATTATTTCGCCTAGTTCTTACTCTTAAAACGAGTACAATGTCCGCCATTTTTGTTTTCACAAGCAAAACAACTCAACCGCAGGTCTAGGTAGATACAACTAAACTACAAAAGATAATAGGCATTGCCCTCTTTGTGGATCCAACCTAGTACAAGACGAAGTTCACTTCCTTTTTCGTTGTCCTACATACTCTATGATTAGTAATAATTTTCACAATAAAGTTGATTACAAATATTACCCAGTTAGCTGTAAACGTTTTGATCGATCGATGATAACTGATGAACTCCTCTTGACTAATTACTTTAT